GGGGGCTTCAGCTTCTCAGAAGACCTGCAGACCCCTGGTGTGGTCCATTCACATCCATCCTCACTGCTGGGCTCCATCCCAGAGGAGGCTGCCTCTCCCAGAGGGCTTTGGAAGGTGCCATGGGGATGGAGGGGTGAAAGTGTAACCAGCTCGTCCATTTGCTTCCTTCTCCAGGATTATATCTTCTACCTGGAGCCGGACAAGCTGGACTCGGGCAAGGGGAAGTGTTCCTATGACCCCAAAGTAGACACCGTCTCTGCATTAATAAGTGAGTCCTGTAGCTCCCCGGGGCCTGCGCTGCCTGCGTTGGGCAGAGGGAACACGCAGGCAAGGTGGGACGACTGCTCCCGGCGTCTTCCTGCGTTGCCCAGATATCCCCAAGGAGTCCCCTGCCACCCCTGCCCGCTCCAGCGGATGGCCGGGCACCCGGGATGCCCAGTCCTTGGGCACCTGGCCCAGCAGAGGTGGGGTACCTGGTTACGGACCAGTGCCAACCTTCCGAGCTCTCTGGGATGGCAACAGGCAGTGGCTCTCGGTTGCCTAATGGCTACTGGCCAGGGCTGAGGTTGGATGGAGCCTGGGGCAGTGGGAGAAGGTGGATGGATGGGACTAGGTGGGAGCCCCCGGCTGATCTCTGCCCTCTGCAGATGAAGAGCTCTATGCTGGCGTCTACATTGACTTCATGGGCACGGACGCAGCCATCTTCCGCACCATGGGCAAGCAGACGGCCATGAGGACAGACCAGTACAATTCACGCTGGCTCAATGGTGAGTTTGGGGTGTCAGTGGCCCAGGTTCCCTGGAGACCCCACGGCTCCAGCTCTAGAGATGAGACCCGTCGTGTCATACTGCATCCTTCTCCCAGCGCAGAGACAGTAGCCAGCATGGGCAGGTGGATGGGTGGTGGTGTGGGATGGATGGATGGATGGAGGGGTGGATGGTTGACAGTTGATGGATGAGTGGACGGATGGGTGGACGGATGATGGATGGATGGGTGGATGGATGGACAGGTGGAGGGTGGATGGATGGATGGGGGATGGATGAATGAATGGATGGATTGGTGATGGGTGGGTGGATGGATGATGGATGGATAGATGGATGGATGGATGGATAGAAATCTAGGGCAGATGGGCAGAGGGATAGCTGTGTGAGGCATGGTGACAGACATGCCAGGGACTTTGCTGGGCGGCGGGAGCAGCCAGCTGGTGAGAGATGGGGCTGGCTCTGCCGGAGTCCGTGAGTGGGTTTCTGCAGGACTGAGATGTCAACCATGTCGCCTGCGTTCGGTGACCCCAAGCGCTCATCCTGCCCCCCTCGCAGCACCCCTGCCCGCGGGGCGGCAGCTGAGTAAACAGAGCAGAGCAGATGGGCTGATCCTGCCGGGCCGGGGAGCCGGCGGGGCGGTAACCTGAAGAGGGGGAGCTGTCAGCGCAGGCTGGGCACCGGCTGATGGATGGCAGGGAGAAGCTTCCTGAGAAGCTTCCAGGCTGTGTGGTTCCTCCCCAGGGGAGGAAGACCAGTTCCCACCGCCCTGCTCATAGAGCTGCTGGAGCCCTCCACCCTGTGAACCTCAGGGATGCTCCCAGGGACCTCAGGGATGCTCCGAGCCCCTCCTGGAGCACCGATGACCACCAGAAACACCCGGTTCCTCAGCCCATCTCTGCAGCTCTGGTCCAGGTCCAGCGCTCGCCCTGTGGCCGCGGCAGTGCTTTTCCAGGAGCAGGGCGATGCCGGAGGAGAGGGGGGCTCAGCATCCCACTGCGGCACACGGGGCAGGGGGTGCCGCTGGGCTGACGGTGCCGTGCCGTGCCATTCCAGACCCAGCCTTCGTCCGCGCCCAGCTCATCCCTGACAGCAGTGAGAGGAACGACGACAAGCTCTACTTCTTCTTCCGAGAGAAGTCGGCCGATTCCCCGCTGAGCCCTGGGGTCTATTCCCGCATCGGACGCATCTGCCTGGTAGGTGGAGCAGCGGGCAGGCAGGGAGCGGGCAGGGGGGCAGGCAGGGCTGAGTGCGGGGGTCCCTCCGTTGCAGAATGACGACGGGGGCCACTGCTGCCTCGTGAACAAGTG